AAATTCATCGCCACCCACCAAAATCCCAGTCTTCAAGGTTTCTTTTTTCTTCGTTTTCAGGAACTCTAGGGCCAATTTGTCGTCTATTTACTTCGTTTCCATGTATTCTAACGGACCTGCATGGATTTCAATAGATCCTAGGATGCATTAGAGTTTCTTTTTCCCTTGTAAAACAGACTATTCGGAGTTGTATAAATAACATGTGATGATTGCATTGATTCATTTAGAACATAACTTGAATAATACCTCCTTATTTTATGAATCTCCTTGATTTCCTTGCTTTTGTGAATATTCAGAACAATAATCTATGCTGATCAATCATAATGAGGTCGAATGGATTCTTGTGGATCCTACCGGATTCTGGCGGATTCTACCGAATCCTGGTGGGTCATATGGATTCTGATAGATTGCAGGATCTACCAGGATCTGCCTTTTTCCCTTGGCTCTTCAGCGTATTGCTTTGCAGCTGAAAAGCTCCAAACTCAATCACCTGTCAATATACAGAGCTCATTGAAAATCACTCACGCTATTTCTTATTTAGAAAAACAAGTGAAACAATTTCTAATGATGAAGTCATATTTCACGATAACGCAAATGTTCTCTATAGTTGATCAATCAAATGACTTTGAAGCCTGTTTCATCAATTATGCTGGAATTTCTGTATCTGTATCGTCAACTGACAATGGCGTTCGTATATCTTTATGCTTAAACAATGCAATAACAGTATCCAAAGTTAATATAAGCACAGCTACTACTAAATAGGTGCTTATTATTCTTCCGGTCAAAACCATCCATCCGAAATATTGTTCTATGAATGCGGATGAAAAGAACGCAATTGATATACCAGACATAACGATTGCTTCATACAATGAGTGCGTTTTTAGTTTTTCCTCTTCTCGGTGTGATTGTGTCAGTAGTGCTGATGCGCCCACATAGCCGAAATTCCATCCAATCCCAACGATAATCAGACCTAAATTAAAATGACTAGTCCGAACCCCACGTTGAAATAGAAGTGCTCCTGTCAATTGCACCAGAAAACCAGTCAACATGACGAGTCGACTTCCAAACCAATTACATAGGGTACCTGTGAAAAACGAGGGTACAAACATTCCTAATAGATGATATTCAACGGCTGTTGTTGCCTGAGCGAAACTGTGTCCAGCACCTGTCATCGCTAATGGAGTAGCAGACATCTGAACAGCCATGGCTGACCATGAAACAAATCCACCAAGAGCAGCAATCAAAAATATTCGTTGACTGGCTATAGCAAATACGGAGCGATTTGTTTTACTATTACTACCACTGGCCATCTCTGATGGCGAAGTGGATACTACTGCATAATCTTTTTTTTTAATGTCTTGAAATTGAATCATTGTCATAGTGAGCAAAAGTAAAGTACATTCACATAATGTTGTTAAATAAGCACCGCTGTATGGCTTTGGTAATGCATTCACCGTATGTTTGGCTATTTCTGGCCTATAACATGAAAAAAGATTTATAAACCATTGAACGTCTGGCGAAATGTCTGCAATACATTCTTTACGGCATTGTGATATGTAACAAGACAGACATCTTAGAGAATTGGACACTTCTATCTTATTCTGGATATACGCAACCTCTTTTGGCAGGAATATCCATTCCTGTAAAAATTCGAAAAAATAGGAATTTCGATATGAAACTTTGCCTTTAGATAGTTTTGATAATACTTAATATGCTCTGAAATTTTCACTTAGAACGAATGCTTTCTTGTTGAGATATTCAAAATCCAAAACCCAGCTAAATTTTACTAAAAATTGCTAAAAACTTCAACATTCTGTATCTTGCGAAAGAAATAGCAGTTGTTCCTGAAAATGTTGAAACTTCCTAAACACTACTAGGGCTATATATGAGTCAAGTTTCATGTTAGAAATACATTGTTTTGATTCTTCTATGAGGCTGAATGTCTCACCGAAGGAATTTTTTATTGATCACGGCACAATCTGTCAGTAGATCGGTTAAAAGATTCTAGAACGCTGACATTGAATAGCTTGATGATAGGCTTAAGAGTATAACGTAAAATAAACTACAATGTATGTCGCATTTCCGAATAGATACAACTTTAGGGAAGAAAGATGTTGTTGAAAAAAGTCATCAGTCCTAAAAGGTGTTTTCCTACGCCTGACAGCCATCTAAATACTACATTTTGGTCTAGATATGGCCTCGAAAGTCATATCAATCCAGAAAAATATTGGTTTTTTTCTACAACATTTTTATAAGACTTCGATTACAATTATTTAAATGTCCCTTGGAAGAGACATTCGGCTCTTAAGGGATAATTCTTGATTCTGTTTCATGCATTCGTTTCCCTAGCTTCAGAGCTGATTGCTATTGAACTGGCGTTCCTTAGTCACTTTTGATCTTTCTCATCAATTGAATTCTTTACTTTGAATACAACAAAATGATTCTACCAAGAATAGAAATGGTACTCTGAAAAAATATAAAGAAGGTCTGCAGAATATTTTTATGGCTTTGCAGAAGCTGCAGAACCTTTTAAAGTTTTGTATGAAAGTACTGAACCATATGAGATTCTGCCTAATAAAGTTGATGTATACAAGGTTCGCTCAACAATGTTGAAGCATAAAAAGTTCTGGCCAATAATAATGAGGCATGAAAGGTTCTGTTCAATAATGACAAACCGTAAAAATTTTCTGTGCAATAATGCTGAAGCATGAAACGTTACTGTCCAAATATTCTAAAGTATAAAAATCTCTGTGTCCCAGAATGCTGATCCAAAGGAGTTTCGCACAATATCACTGAACCTTGTTAGGTTCTGTCAAAAAATGTTGCACCATGGAAGGTTCTTTGTTCAAAGTACGAAACCGAAAAGATTCTGTCCCATAATGCTGTAACTTGACAGATTCTGTCAAAAAATGCTGAACTATAAAAACTCGCCTATCGAAAGATACTGAAAGAGAAAAGGTTCTATCAGTTATTCAGGATTATTCAGGATGTCCCACTGAAAAAACAGAACCATTAAAGAGTTTGATAGAGAAAATATGGTTCACGATATATTTATTATGAAGTCATTTTTTGTTTCAAAAACTCGATACAAATATTTTTGTCAATGTGATTTGGAATACATTCCGCAGAGCTATTTCATCAAGTATTTTTTTCTTTCTTTTACTTGGAGATACTTTATTCTACTCTAATTGGATGATTTCTCTCGATGATTGAGAATGTTTTTATGTACATAAACTGTGATGATGGAATGATTCTTCTTTTATGTTTCAGCAATTTTACTTTATTCATATCCCTCAGCTGTTATTTCTTCCACAACAAGATTGAAATAAATCACCATCGTATCCAAAACATCTAGCTTATTTGCAATAAATCTGGGAAATGACTGTAAAAGCACATGAATTCTGTAATTTATGCATAGTATTTCAAAATGCATTGAGATAAATTTCGTAATTTGTTTTGTCCACAATGTATTATTGTCAGTACAAGAAAAGAGAGACCTCTACTCCATTTTTTAACAACAGAAAATTATATATCTATCTATATATTTATATATATATATATATTCTACCCAGGTCCATCATGTCCAGTTCCATACGACTGTATACTGATCAAAAACAACAATCATTTACAGGGAGCGCTTACAATAATTACAAACAATGCTTTACGGTGTACTACAATCGTCTACACACTAATCGCAAAATAATCACTGTTTACGACTATCACAACAATACAGAGACTGCAACGCTCCCATAGTGTCTCAAGCATTCGCATACGTAAGCTAAAACGGTTTCATATATCACCATAATTTTCTCTCGTGCTTATTCCCAAACAGCCTGTAATGCTAAAGACCTCCAGTGATTCAAGCAACACCGGAGATGATCGTTGCCCAGCAAATGCAGTTAAACCCTGGATCTAGTAAATGTAATACAGCATTGAACGGAATAAATATGGATGTAATGATATAGTCTTAAGAATATATCTGTACATGTAAAGTGTGTGGATGTGGATGGCGGATGGTGTGTACACAAATGAACAGTAGAATCGAACCCACAGCCACACTCTCTGTACTTTAACTTTAGCTTTTTTCAAAGTTAAAGCTTAACCATTGGGAGACGGTGGTAATGCGTTGCATTACCCTTTTTATAGAAAAGAAAATGTTTGCTCTCTATTAAACTGTTATGATCTGTAACGTAATAGATCGCTCCACTAATAACTTATGCATATCTTTTCTCTCTGTATTCCTGTCATATTGATCCTTCTCAGATGTTCTCCTTGCTTTCTGCTACTAAACACTTACATTTTGATATCTTCCCCTTTGTTCTTGCTTTATTATCATGAAATTTTAGTGTAGCCATTTGAGACAAACACAACAAATTGGTTGAAGAACCACGTTTCAATAGAAAAAGTTTCGTCCTCAAAGAGTTAAAGTATGTTCACTTTAACTTTAACTACTTTATCGAAGGATTTTTAAACTTAAGGTGCTACTCTAGTCAGAACATATTCTACTGCTAAAAATCAGGCACAGAGCTATCACTCAGGATGAGAAATGTGGCAACATTGAGAAGCTTACCCAAGAACCGAGGACAGACAACCACCGGCGATGACCATTGCAATCGCTTTTGGTGCAAATTCCTGCGTCGAAAATTGTAATGCAAGCAGACGATAGTACAAAGTACATGGCACCTGTCCACCAAGAAAACTGGCTCCGACTACTAATAACCAATAGAGTTTATACCACGCTGCAACCATACAAAAAGCAGCTCCCGTCATGCCCATTAACGCACCGATATAGAGCGGTGGTCGATATCCGAAACGATCAATGGCTAGTGGTAAAAGCACAGACCATATAGTACCAATAAAAAGCATACAACCAATAGGTATGGTCGCTAGATGCCAATTTGCGAAGCTTGTAGCTGCTAATGTTGTAGTACTGATTTGAAAAAAAATGCACCTTCACCGAGACTCCATGACCATGCTAATAAAAGGATATTTCGTAACATTTTACGAAAAAGAGGATCAGCCCATCGAGCACGTAAGCCCTTCAGAGACCAAAATGGTGCCAGTGTGGCATTTTGCAACTTCTCTATCGGTACGGTATCGATTAGTTCACCAGTTTCTGAAATAGGATTGTCTGCTACAGTTAAGTCCAATTGAGCCATGATTAAATCTATCTGAATAAGATGTTATCGAAAACGGTGATTGATTCTTTCTTTGTATAGCAGAGTTGCTTGCGCTATCTGGCCGTCTCTTTCTCTTAGCAAATTTTCAGTTGTGTCAAACACGAAAGTTGAATTCAATTATTGAAAAGCTTTTTCAACTTTTCAATTATTCAATTATTGAATAACTGAAGTTCAAATATTCAACTATTCATTATTCGTCTTATTAGCCAGTCCTTTCATGGGACCTACCGGCAGTGCGATGCTGATTGTGTGTATGTCGTCGCATGTGCTTGCGTTGGTTCAATAGTCGAACAACTTTACGTGAATTGTGCAATAATGGAATAACTGAATATCTTTACTTCAGCTAGTCAAATAATTAAATAGTTGAACTCAAATTTCAAGTTTGACATGTATGTAGTTGGATCGATTGAAACTTGACAACAATCTCTTCTGTTCATGACTGAAATTCACAAAGATTTTCGCCTTGATAGGTCCACGAGAAGTGGAGATAGATTCATGTGATGGGAAGGAAGTTCAAGATCTTCTTGATTTTTTTACGTCCTTATTGCTTTTTTTTGTATTTTAAGCGCTATTGAAGAGTGACAAAAGTTCACTCCTAGTGGTTTATTTTCAGAAATGAATTCATCACCATTTCGCACCCCTTCGATTTATAAATAAATAACAGCATAGAAAAATAGATGTGAAATTAATTATCCAATCATATTCTAAGGATTCTTTGAAGAAGACTACTAGTGACAAGATCTTCGCATTAGAGGATGAGAATTAAATCAAGATTCTATAATTCGTTTTCTACGCATACGTTTTCATCGATCGAAATCTAATAGTTAGAAGGATCATATTTCGGAGAGAATAGCAGATAAAGACAGTATTCTTTACAGTTTTTCATGTTTCAGCACACTTCATTGAGGGGTGAGTTAGCAGACTTATTAGCTTTCAGCTCTCTGGATTGTTTCTCATCAAAGAAATCACTTGAGAAATCTAGATGCAAAAATCGACTTAAAAAAGAGTACTTGGCGTGGTCATCTCCATTTTCACCCATTCATACAGCATTTGATAAGTTATTTGAAAGTAAGAAAAGGCTTAAAGAGTGCGCACCCACACCCGAAATAGGTGACTCTCAATAACAAAGTGTGGGGACGCATTTGATCCAAAGTTGGTTCAATGTCGTTTTGTTCATATGGCTTCGGTCATCAACCATATTATTATAGAACTCGTCGACTCGAACACTTTTTGTAACAAAGTTTTGTCTTCAAAATGAAACTATGAAAAGATAGAAAGACACTAAATATTACCAGTTTTGCTCTACAGGTCAAAATTCTCCTTCTGCAATCTGGGACGGTCTTCATATAGAATAGAAAAACAAAATAAGTCATTTCAGCTTTCAATCTACAAGATACATATCAGTTTGTCTGCAGTGAGAATAAGAGCTCGTGGAGTTATAGTCCAAAGATAAACTCTCAAGACGAATCATCTAGTATGACTTTGGCAGTTAACTATAGTCGAATATCGCTAATATTTTGAGATGGTCAATCACTTCTCTCACCATTTTTTAATCAATACTAGTCCTTGAGATAAGCAATAAAAAAAGACAATCCAATTCTCAACACCAATTGGAGAAGGCATAAAGAAGGTCTGGGCTGCTATCAGGTTACTAATCTTGCTCAAAAATCTGGTAACATCGCAACCAATTGTAATCAAGTACAATTTAAAGTGAGAAAAAAAACAGCAGAATCGTGCTTAGCATCGAAAACTGCATCTACCTATAAAGGGTGTGCCATAATAAGTGGGAATAAATTGCTAATGATATTTTTCATACATTTTGACGATGTAGAGAGCTGAAAGTTTTATCACATATATATCTAATCAAGATCTTTTATTTCTGAAAGTTTCAGCTTCCTAGGCATAACTAATGGTGAAATATACCGACAAGATTGAAATAGATACATTTTCGTACTCATTTTTCGCATTTTATTTTGACAGTGAAAATAATGCAAAAATCGAGTAGAAAAATTTATGTATTTCAATCTTCTCAGTATATTTCACCACTAGTTATAGCTAGACAATTGAAACTTTCAGAAATAATAGGTCTTTATTAGATATATATCTGATAAAAATTTCAGCTCTCTGCATCAACAAAATGTATGAAAAATATCATTAGCCATTTATCCAGAGTTATTATGGGATACCCTTTATATATATGTATTTCTCAACCTTACGCTCCATTTCATTTTCGTGTAAAAATTTGACTGCAGTGCCTCTCAGACATAGGTACAAAAAATGAATTTAATGAAACATTCAAACTATCCCTAGAGAAAAAGACGCATCTTAACTATTGTCAATTTCCGACATAAAATGACCGTGGACATTTTTCGAATAACTTCATAA